AACAGCAGCAATAACAACAACAACACATATGTGTTTGGTCCTCTCCTTCCACAATCCTGCATATGCAATCCGATGAAAGCGCTTCTGCCTAAGCCTTCATTTCATGTAAATTAGGTATGATTGATTTTTCCCTTAGTCTTAAAGCTTGATAAATATAGCCAGACCAAAAAAAAAGGCTGTTAATAAAAGCAGACCTCAAACATTGAGAGAAAGTGGTTTCTTCTCATGCTTTTCATTATTTCAGAGCAGCAAATTATAGGTTCTTTCATTAGCATACAGAGAGTTTGAGAGAGGGCATCTGGGAGGGGAACAAGAATCTAGTTTCTTCCCATCAGTCATTTCCTTGCATTTGCTGTCCCTGCACTGTGGGTGAAAAGGTCTCACTAGTCTGAAGATGGCTTCGTGGCTTGGCAATCATGTGACTCTGTGGTGATTGTTTAAAGAGCCCTGATACCCATATGTATGAGAAATTATGGGACATCAAATAGTGGCCTCTAATTTAGCTTGAGGGTAGGATAGAATTAAGGAAATATTAAGGGGGCACCCTTCCAGAGTTTGCCACCATTGAGCTAATTCTTCTTTTTTTTTTTTTTTAGTTGGGGTTTTACTCTGTCACTCAGGCTGGAGTGCAGGGGCATCAACAAGGCTCCCTGAGCCTTGATCTCCTGGGCTCTGGTGATCTTTCTGTCTCAGCCTCCCAAGTAGCTGGGACTACGGGTGTAAGCTACTACTCCTGGCTAATTTGTTGTTTTTTGTTTTTGTAGAGATGAGGTCTTGCTATGTTGTGGTCTCGAACTCCTGGGCTCAAGCAATCCTCCTGACTTGGTCTCCCAGAGTGCTGGGCTTAGAGGTGTGAGCCACTGCACCTAGCCAATTCTTGAAGGCTGAGGGGGAGCTAGCCTTGTAAATACATGAGATGAGGGAATTCTAGGACTTAAAAAAAAAGTCCTAAAACAATTTTTGCCTTTAGTGAGTAGACCGTGGTATATAATCATTATTTGGATTTTGAGCTCTTACATTGCCTCGGAGGCATTTTCTCTGGATAGTAATAGGATGTAAATATAACAGGAATATAATATAAGATAATCTGTACAACCCCATCGCTAAATAAAAATGTAAACAAATAAAGCTTTTCTTATGTTATTATCTCCTAAATAATTTTCTACTCAACCTAAAAACATGTTCAAGTCATCCCTATCCAGAGAGAGAAACCCTTATATATTCATTAAGAATCTTTCAGGTCAAGGCTGAGGTTGATAGAGAAAAACTCTAACTGACTTGACTGAAAAGAGAATTTACGAACATTGTTGAAGATCTAGGATTAGCCTAGCCACAAAGACAACAAAATAAAATAGCTTGGATAATGCCACTGGGACTTGATTTCTCTCCGTCTCATAGTTCTGACTTCTGCTGGGTTGCTTTCATTTTCTGCTGGGCTCTTTTCTTATGGGGCAAGATGACTGCAGAATTCAGAACTGCTTCTCAGTTCAAATGTTCCTCCCTGAAAAAAAAAGATTTGCTTTCCTGAGAGTTCCAATGCAAATCCTGGAACTGCATCTAGATGGCTTAGATTTCAAAAGTGAATCATTTCTCCATCCCAGCCAGTTCTTGGGTTGTTTGTGCAAAAACCATTGCAAGGAGAATGCTAGTGATTCCCACTGTGTTGATGGAGTCTAGGTCACAGGTCCACTCGTAGATCGCCTGAAGTGTATGAAATGAAAGTCAAGAAGGTGCAGTATCTCCATAGCAATTATTTTAGAATTGTTACAAGAAGAAGGGGGGAGGGAGATGCCAATGGGCCAAAACAATCTATGTTGTCTGCCATCTTGCCTGTGTTGCTTTCTCATCAAGCTAGTGCCCTATTTATCTTACTAGTTGTGTGACTTAGCATGTTTCTTAATCTTTCTAAGCCTCAGTTTCTCCACTTATGAAATGGGGACAATAGTACCTCACAGGATTTTTGTGAAGATGCAATCAAGCAATGTACACATAGAACCTAGCAAGCTTCTTAGTCCATAGAAAGCTCTTGGCGAAGGCTAGTTCCTCTACTTATCCCCTTCATTTCTGCTGCTGAAGTTTAGTCTATATCCACTCTCTAATTTCTCACCTATCGCTTAATTCTTGATTCAACATAAGCCAACTTATACCGTGACCGCTCTAATGGAAGGCCCCTTGCACAAATGAGCTCTTCTTGGATCTCATCGTGTTTGGTCTCTCTGCACCATCTGGAGCACTTGACCACCTCCTCCTTTTTGAACTCTCTCCACCCTACACATGTTCTCCTCTTCCGATGCTGAGCCTGCCTCTGTGGCTGGGTTGCTCCATGCACTCATTCGCTCTTTTCTCTCAGCTCACCCTTTTAGCATGTGTGTCCCAGATTCTGTGTGCTTCTCTGGGGTCTCTCATCTACTGCCCTAGTCACATTCATCATTTATTTGTTGTTTCCTTCTGCATTGGAAATTTCACTTCAGACTTTTTCTTCGGAGCTCCTGATACAAATATCCATTTGATAAATTAAGTGCTTACCATGTCAGGTTCTCTGCTAGGCTCTGAGGATCCATTTAAGACAAGTTTGACCCATGTGCAGTTCCCTCCCATAATGCATCAAGGTTGGTCTGTAGAATCAAAGGTTATGGCGGAAGTGAAAGCATGCCACTTTCTTTTTTTTTTTTTGAATTGGAGTCTCACTCTGTCGCCCAGGCTCGAGTGCAGTGACATGCTCATGGCCACCCCAGCGTCGATCTGCTGGGCTCCAGTGATCCTTCCGCCTCAGCCTTCCAAGTGGCTGGAACTACAGGCCTGCGCTACCATGTCCGGCTAACTTTTGATTTATTGTAGAGACAAGGTCTCACCAAGTTGCCCGGGCTGGTCTTAAATCTGCGGGTTCAGGCAATCCACTTGCCTTGGCCTTTCTAAGTGCTGGGATTACAGGCTGAGCCACCGAGCCTGGCCCAAGCATGCCACTTTCAAGAGTAGGTTATAAATTGACACCGTAGGTCTGTCTTCACTGTATATTCTCACAGATCACTCATTCTGGGGAAGGTAGTCCTCTGGAGAGCTCCACAGGGTGAGGAACTAAGGCTTCCTGCCAACAGCCACAGGAAAGGGCTTGATCCTCCAGCCCCAGCTGAATCTTCATACCATAACCCCCGGCGACAGTTTGACTGTAACCTCGTGAAAGACCCTGAGCCTAGAATCACCAGATGAACTCTTGGAAACTGTGTGCAATAGTAAATGTTTGTTGTTTTAAGCTGCTCAGATTTGGTTTTAATTATCACGTAAGAATAGATAACCAATACAGACCTTAAGGCGTTTCTAGTCCAGTGAGGCAAATAGACAATTAAGCAAGCAGTAGCATAAGTGCTCAGGGAGACCATAACAGAGACACGTAACGGTGTTACAGGCAAGGAAGGGAAGAAGGCATGTGAAAGCCAAGACCTGAAGAGTGAATAATAGGAATTAGCCAAGGGGAAAGACGGCACGAGGCAGAAGCCCTGGGTATGCAAAGACCAGGAGGCGAGAGAAAACGTTCAAGGTGTTGGAAGTTCAGTAGTGAGAAGATGGTCTACAAGGAGGTATTGCCGAGCAACTAGGCAAGAGGAATGTCCTTTTCTCATCTCCACTTGGATGTCTTCTGGGCTCCTCAGATTTGACAGGTCTGAAGGGGAAATAATTGACTTCCCACCCAAATCTTCTGTTCTTCAATTGTGTTCTAAACTGCTATCCTTGATAACCACCTTTTCCCTCTGTCATTTAATCTCAAAGCTTCTGTCTCTTAAGTTCACTTTCTGAGTTCTGTTCTCACCGTCCCTGCTGTATTTTGAGTCTTCACCATCTTTTTCTTAGCCGTTTCATTATTCCCGAGTGGCCTTTGGCCCCAGTTTTTCCTCTCTCTAATCCTTTCTCCGTTTCAAGAAACTAGTTTCAGGAACCTGGTTCCACTGATATCAGTTTCTGGATAAAAAAAAAAAAAGAAATTCTTTTTACCAGAAATGTTTTAGTTAGATTTAAGTCAATTTAACTTTTAAAACTTGAGATTGCATTGAACCTGAGGGGATTTAACACATTTATAATACAAAGTCTTTTTACACAGGAAAATCATTTATCTCTTCCGCTCCCAAAGTTTATGATCTAATAAAAAAGTTAGATTAATAGTCATACAACTGATGGTTCAAGCTCATTTTTTTCCCATTAAATAAGTATTGAGCATTCACCACATCTAAAACTCAGTACAAGATAGGAAGTAATTACTTTGGATAATGTAAGACACCGGCTATGAGAATTACAGATATTTCAGCAGGAGTGAGCTGAAGTGGCAGTTGGATGTCAAAAGACAAGAGACCTGGACAGGTGGAGGGACTCTGGGAGGGGAAGAGTGAGAGTTAGGGCACAGAAGTTGGGCAACCAGGGGTGTCTGGGAAGACCCATGTGACAGGAAGGAGAGCCACACGATGATTTCTTGCTTCCTGGGAGGATGTCATATTTTAAAGGATCTTGCTAATTAGACACTGGAAGTCTATTTACATGTTTAGTTTATTATTATTTTTTAAGCTGATTTTTTTATTAGTAAACATGTTAACAACTTTATTGAAAAATAATTGACCTATAAAAATTACATCTATTCAAAGTATGCAGTTTGAGAAGTCTGACATATTTGTACACCTGTGAAGCCATCATCTCGATCAATGTAGCGAACGTGTCCATCATCTTCCAAAATTTTCTTGTGCTGTTTTTGGTGATTCCTCTTCCTGCTCCTCCCATCCCTCTCCAGGCAAACACTGATCTACTTTCTGCCACTATAGATTAGTTTGCATTTTCTAGTATTCTGTGGAGTTATGCTCTCTTTTGAGGGAGGGTATATCTTCTTTCATTCATCATGAATGATCTTGAGATTCATCCATTTTGCTTGTATTAGTGGTTTGTTTTTATTGCTGAATTATATAGTCCATTGTATAGATGTACCAAATTTTTTTTTTCATTTTCTTAAGAGGACTCAACTCGAAGAAAAATTTTAATTGCTGTTGCAAAAAACATCTGTATGAAGTAGAAACTGGTTTCAATAACATTAGTAAAGAGTATGTTCTAGAAAGTGGAGGTAACTGGATGTAAAATTCTGGCAGCAATTTAATAGAACAGTCCCAGATAGGCTGAGGCCAACACCTAGTGAGGACGAAAGCCTTGTCTATGGGGAATTTTGGACGATACCTGGAGAAATATTACACTCTGCATAAACCAATTTGAGTTTTCACAAATTTTGCAAAGTTTCATATAGTAAAAGGTTTTTTCTACATGCACTTCAATTTCACAGCAAGAGTGGCAGAGAATACCTAAACACAGAAGAGAGCATTCATGCAAGATATCTAACTCCTTGATATAATAATGCATACAATTCAAAATGATTACACTATCATTACATCTAGGGCTTTCTGCAACTACAAGGTGGCAGCTATAGAAAGCGTGGCCCCCGGTATCAACATCTAAAAAGCAGCCACCACCTTCTACATGTGTTCTCTTTTGGCATTTTTTCTTCATTTTTCTTAATCAACTCTGCTGTTGTTGCTGCTTCTTAGCAAAACTGGTAAAAACAAAATTGTAATCATTGAACATAGCACTCTGGCAATCAAGACGCTTAAAACCTTCAATCTTCTGGGGTGAAGAAAGCACGGTGCGACATTTAGAACTCTGATTAACAAACAAGGTGGTCACAAATTTTCCTGATTTGAAGACTTCCACAACTTTCCTGATCAGGTCATCATAGGAGGTCTGACTTAAGTTTGTTTCAAAGCTAACATAAGAAAATTCTGGTTCTGGAGTGATGTGAATAGTACAATAAGTTCCATCCGATTTCATTCCATTCATTGAATACCCACAAGGATTGAACAGTGTGGCATCAATGACAGAACCTGGTATCAGGTCACGAATTCCACTCTCACGAGTGACGTCCTTTGCAGTAACACCATCTTTCATGTAGAACTGGTCCATGACTGCTGGGCCAAGTGCACTCATCAGAATCTCCAGGGTTTGATCTGGCTGACCGATTACCCGGCTCTCTGGAAAATCCAGAGTATACAAGTACCAACAGTCAGAATTCATACCTCCCATACAGTATGCTGCTCCATTTGGGAAAATTGCATTAAGAAACTCTATTTCTTCCTGGAAATTCCGGTGTGGGTACCCTTGGTGAGAAGGCTTCATGAAATTCTTACGAGAATAAAAGAAGCTTTGAATTGAGTCAAACCCACTGTAATCCCTAGCAAGTTTCAGCAGGGGAACCAGCGCTTTCAGCAAGAGGGTGGTACCACATGTCTTCAAAATGAAACGTCTCTTGGGGACAGACATGCTACTCTCACTGAGTACATACGCTTCCTGCTTGTCGGTTTTTGTCACACTTATGATTGAGCACTGCACATCCCTCAGAAGTATGTCCCACTCGGATCTCGGGATGGTGCGAAGATCCCCAGACCCCTGGTTCGCGTCGGGCTGCTGCCGGGAGAACCAAACCTCCAGCAGCTTCTCGGTCCCTTCGAAAAAATGTGCAGCTTCCATCACCGTGAGACTAGCGAGCAACCAACAACCACAGAAAATCAACTAAATTAAACCTCTTCTCCCGCCGCCGCCGCCGCCGCAGATTGTTCCAGCTGTGTTACTAAAGTTCAGGTTCCTTTTTTTGCTATAATTTTATATGAACTTTTTTTTAGAAAAAGGACTAGTAAAATTTCCCCGGCTTTTCGTGAGCGAAAGTTGAACGTGAGTCTGTTGGAAATAGAGGCAGATACAGTTCAGTCTCTTGTAGTCCGCTGCTTCCCCGTTAGAGAGAGTAGAGCGAGCGCTAGCTAATGTCGCCGGCCATACGGTGTAAGCCCATGTTTTTTTTTATTTTAAAGTTGTGGGGTACAATTCAGGGTTAGGTATATAAGTGGACATTGTACCAGTAAAGTTTGGGCTTCCCTTTGGTCCCCACTTTGCCTAGTTTGAGATCAGGTACTTTTATTGATGCTGTGTTTTCCCCTCGTCACCCCAGCAGTATCCTGCTACTGCCAATTCCTTTCTCATAGTATTATGGTCAATGTTCAGGGCCCGCTTATGAGTGAGAACATGTGATACTCTGTTCTTTGTTTCTGTGATAGATCATTGAGTATTATTGACTCTAAATTCATCCAGGCTGCTGCGATGTCCACATGTTTGTCCTTCTTTATAGATGTACCATACTTTATTGACTCATCTGTTGATGGACACTTGGGCTGTTATGAATTTTTGGATATTACAAATAAAACTGCTACGACAATCTACATATAAGCCCTTATACAGACATTTGCTTTCGTTTTTCTTGGGTAAATACTTTGGAGTGGAAAGTCTGGGTCATATAATTTGTTCTTTTAAGAAACTGTCAAAATCTTCCCAAAGCAACGGTATCATTTTATATTTGTGCCAGGAATGAATAAGAGTTCTAGCCAATCCACAACCTCACCAATATTTGATTTGTTCAGTCTTATTAATTTTAGCCATTTTCCTTTTTTTGACAAATCAAAATTTTATATATTTATTGTGTACAACATGATGTTTTGAAATATATACATATGTAAAATAGCTAAATCAAGTTAATTAACATGTAGTACTTCACATGCTTATCTTTTTTTTGTGGTGAGGACACAAAATATATTCTTGGTGATTTTCAAGAATACATTTTTATTAACTATAGTTGCAATGTTGTACAGTAGATCTCTTAAAATCATTCCTCTTATCCTTAAACTAACATCTTTCCAACTATTCCCCTCACCCCCACTCTGCCCTGCAACCTGCCACAAGTGCACGGTATACTCTGTTATGCTCTTTGACCCATAAGTTCAATTTTTTGAGTCCACATGTAAATGAGATCATGTGGTACTTGTCTTTCTGTGCCGGTCTTATTTCACTTACAATAATGCCCACTAGGTTAATCCATGTTGTCTCAAGTGACAGGATTTCCTACCTTTTTGAAAAAAGGAGGAGTATTTCATTAAAAAAAAATATATAATGTATATATTTATGTATATGTATACCACATTTTCTTTATCCATTATTTTGTTGGTGGACACTTAGTTTGATTCCATATCTTGGCTATCATAAATAATAATTTTAGCAATTTTCATGAATATGTATTTATCTCATTGTGTATAATTTTGGTTTGCATTTCTCTAATAACTAATGATATTAAATATCTTATAATGTTCTTATTTACCATACATATATCTCCTTTGGTGAAATGTCAATCCAACTCTTTTATCCATTAACAACATCTTAAAAATTTTTTTAAATAATATTTTTCCCAGTGAGACAGAATAAAGACAATCAGAAAAATTTTAATTATAAGTAAATAATATTTTTGTAGCCCAGCCTGGAAAGCCACAGGAAGAGTCACCCAGGAAGGGCTGTCCATATTTTAAAATTTCTTTTTATTGAAGTATAACAGCTCTTTACATATTCTAAATACAAATCCTTTTCCAGATATTTGCAAATATTTCCACCATAGTACTTTTTTAAAATGCTTTACTTCTTTACAAATATACTTTAGTTTTTATAAGATTTTTAGATTTACCAAAAAATTGAGAAGGTAGTACAGATAGTTTCCATATATCTCTCACCCAGTTTTCCTTATTACTAACATCTTACATTAGTATGATACATTTGTGATGATTGATAAATCAGTTTTGGCACATTATTAACTAAAGTCTATCATTTATTCAGATAGACTTAGTTTTTACTAATGTCCCTTTTTGGATCTCATTTAGGATACACTGTGACATGCAGTTTTCACATCTCCATAGGTTCCTCTTGGCTCTGACAGTTTCTCAGAATTTCCTGACTTTTGATAACTTTGGCAGTTTTGAGGAGTACTGGGCTGAATTGTGTCCCCTCCCCCTCCCCCAGTTCATGTTTGTCAGGAAGTCCTAAACCTTGATACAGAAGTTGATGTATTTGGTGATAGGGATAAAGAGATCTGAAGGTAATATGAGGTCATTAGGGTGGGCCCTGATCCAATATGATTGGTATCCTTAAAAGAAGAGATTTGGACCCAGACACACACACAAGCAAAACCACATGAAGATACAAAGAGAAGATGCCATCTCTAAGCCAAGAAGAGAGGCTTCAGAAGAAATCAGTCCTGCCAACACCTTGATCTCAGTCTAGTTCCAATGCTTGCTTTAACTGTGTCTTTTTTTGCTTTTTAGTTTGTCTTGCACTTGTTGAAAGCCAGACACGATGTCTTGGGTAATAGGATGTTGGGCAAATCAATTTTAATATGAGGTTTTATGTTAAGATCCGTAGGTACCAGAGACTTCAACTTCTTCTAGTGTCCTTGTTTTTGTCTCCCCTGTTGTCAATGGATTTTTTCAAGATCTGCTTCTTAAATAGAGTCTGCACCTTTTGGCTTTCCCAACTGTAATCCACTCTAATTTCACTGGAACACTGTTGATAAGGCAGTAGAGTGTGGAGAGAGGAGGCATTCTATAATCTCAGGATTAAAGTTCAGTCTTGTAGTGAACCTGTGTCCCAGGCTATGACCTTCAAAAGTGCTTCTTAGCTTTTCCGACTTCTCTTCAGTGAGAAAAGGTGACAGAGGGCTGCCATTGAGTAACTGCCCTTTCCCTGGTCATAGAAGGCTCCCATAAAGTCTTTCCCCCAGTTTATGTCTCTAGCATTTTCTGCTTTTGGTAAGCTGATCTTAGCTGTGGTTGTCTATGTTTGCCTCTGTCTCTTGGTTTTGGAGTGATCATTTGCACTGCGATCTCAGTTCTTTGATGGGTCCCCCCAAAAAGTCATTGATTTTCAGTTTGTTCTTTTTTGTTGTTGTAAAGACAGGAGTGATGACTTCCAGGTTCTTTACATGTCAGAGCTAAAGCTGCTCCATCCTTCACTTTTAGCATGTCTACATTGTTAAATTAAAATGAGTCTCTTGTAAATAACATGTAGTTAGGGCTTAGTTTTTATTCAATCTGATAATCTCTATTTTTTTTAAATTAGTGTGTTTAAACCATGTGCATTTAATGTAATTTTGGTGTGGTTAGATTTAGTTCTACCATTTTATTATTTGTTTTCTGTTTATTCATTCCTTCTTCCCTTTTTGGAGTTAACACTTTTTAGTTTCCCATTTAAATATGGAATATTTAAATATTGACTTTTGGCTAAATCTTTTGACTATCATTTTTTAAGGTGATTGTCCTAGCAATTACAACATACATACATTCCTAAAATTTTTGGTCTAATAAGAGTCAACATTTTATCACTTCAAGTAAAATATGGAGACTTGAAACTTAAAGAGTCTTTTTATCCTTTTTATTATAATTTTCATATGAACTTATCTACATGCATTGAAAACCCCACTGACAATATTATAATCTTTGTTTTCAATATTCATGAAAATTTAAAAAACTTATAGGGAGAAAAATTGTCTATTATGTATATATATATTTTAATCACAAATGTGACCTGATTTAAGCTGTACAAACTTAAACTCAATATTTCTTTTCTTTCTCTGTTCCTTTCTTACTGTTTAAGCTTTGTGGAAACACTGAGTTTATCCTGTCATTACTCAGAACTTTACTATTCCCGTTTCCTAGTTCCTGCCACATCTAAACTAAGTACATCCTCTCTTATAACACTATGGATGGCAATGTAAATTGATACAGTCTCTTTTGAGGGAAACTTAACTATATTTTCCTATTTTAAAAATGCATACTCCTTTTGCTCCAGTAATTCTAATTCTATAAACTTCCTCTGTGGGTATGTGTGGTCTAAATGTTTATCTCCCCTCTACCAATTTGTATGTTAAAATCCTAATCCCCAAAGTGATGGTATTAGGAGGTGGGGCCTTTGGGAAGTGAGGAGGTCATGAAGATGGAGCCCTCATGAATGAGATTAATGCCCTTATAAAAGAAACTCCAGAGAGATCTCTTGACCTTTCCACCATATGAGGACACAGTAAGAAGGTACCATTTATGAACCAGGAAATGGGCCCTCACTAGACAAATTTGCTGGCACTTTGGTCTTAGACTACCCAGTCTCCAGTATGGTGAGAAATAAACCTCTACTGTTTATAAGCTGCCTAGTCCATGCTGTTTAGTTATAGTAGCCCAAAACGACTAAGAGAAGGTATTTTCACATGTGTTCCCAAAGATGTTTATACAAAAATGTTCATTATAGCATTGTTTATAATAGCAGAGGGTTGGAAACTCACTTAAATATACACTAATCAAGAACTGGTTAAATAAACCATATTGCAGTCATATAATGAAAGACTTTGCAGTCATAAAAAAATAAAGAAATGGAATTATGTGTGCTATTATGGAATTATCTACAGACATATTGTTAAGCATAACAAAGTCGGGGCTACAGAATGTATTCTCTCATACATATGCTAATGAATACATAGAATATTTCTGGTACATTTTATATGTAACTGGTGTGTTGGCATCTGAAAAGGGGAACTAGAAAATTAGGAGCTTTAGTGATATGAAGTGTAAGGAACACTTACTTTTCAACATATTCCCTTTTGTATTGTCTGATTTTTTTGAACCATATGCAAGCATTTTTCAGTTTAAAATAATAAACAAGACTCCCACTTCCGGCCATGGTAAGTAACAGAGACTGGGTATAACCTCCCACCTCAATAACTTAAACAATAAGCAAAAAAAAATGAAATGACAGGTTTTCAGATATAGGACAACAACGAGCTCAAGAAGAAAAACAAGTAAAATAAGCTTATGGACTGCCCCAGCTTACTGTCTGGAGCATTTCCAGACCAAAGCTCAAGGAGGAGAAACCCAAATATAGCTCAATGGTTTCCCTTGGCTGAAGAGACGGGGTTGAGAGTTTAGA